GACAGCTAGTATTTTGTATAATAATCATTTCACATCATTACCTCTTTTTATGACGACTGGCCGCTTACAGACGAGACAGACACGTTCTATAGTTCACCTATAAAATTTTCTCACGTCATCCGTCACTCGCCATATAGAGTTACAAATCTATATATAATTTTTTATTAATTTATGTAACCTTTTTTGTTAATATACATTTATTATTAAGTGAGGGTCTATTTTTGCAGTAATTACTACCGACCCCACAAACTAAAAACTGCCACCCCCTAACATTTCCCCGCGCTCCGGCCAACATTTTTATTAGGCAAATCGATTTAAGAAGAAAAAATATAATCCATCACATTTAAAATAAGTAATCTAGTTGCTAAGTAACAGTTGATATGTAACGTGCAACTGTAATCAAAACGAGAGTACATTATATTTGCTGCTATAATCCACTGAATATCTCCATCAATTTCACAATATTGCATGCTATATATTAACATACATTTGTCCAATTAGTGTTGCTATTGTGACTTTATTATAATAATGAATTTATTATCAGGCAGGCTATTAGTAGTTAATAGAAAACATTATTATAACAACATTAACTATAAGAAAAAGTTAAAAGTATTAAAGTTTTCTTATAGTTAATGTTAGTAAGTACAGACACAAATTACACAAACAAATCTATACATATAAATAAAATTGGAGTGTCTGTTTGTAATATTGAAATAACCGTTTTTTGCTACATGCTTAAATAAATACGGTACATACACCAAAAAAAAACACTTTATAATTGTTGTCTGTCGGTCTGTTTGTTATTGCTAATCTCTGAAATGGCTGGACCGATTTTAACCGGAATTTTTAGGGAAGGTAGCTAATGTAATAACGAGTAACGAGCTACTTTTATTTTATAAAAAATCCTTTATTTTAGGAAAATAAAGTTAAATTCCACGCGGACGAAGTCGCGGGAATAGCTAATATTAAATATAAATAACAACAAAAATAATCATTAAATTAATTAAAATAAAATCACAACAAAATAAAATATCAAAATAAAAGTCACCGCTGTACTATCCCATTGGCACAGCAGTGATCAATATACGCACAGTCCAGCCTGCTCGCAATCATGCTCAGGATGCTGTTGGTACTGGCACGTACTCTCCGCACCAGGGATGCGCAACTTTTCCGCATTGTAGCACAGACGCAGTCTACACGGTACTCCGCGAACATCCCTGATGCACTGCAGAATCGCGACAGCCCCATCAATACCCTTAATGCATTTTTGTACTGAACGCGAAGTCCGCTGTAGGACTTTATTAACTTTATTAACATTTTCAAATACAATGAACTGACTGTCTGGTCTTCCGCACCCCCCTAGGGAGAGTTGGGGACTCGGGGCGAACCCCTTTGCCCCGGCATCTACTCTGGGTGCAACGACCTCCGGGTGGCTTGTTCAAAGCCCCTAGGCCAAGTATAAAAAAAAAAAACTAATTAAACTACATGGTTACTAAACGTTGTGCCATACTTGGGGACAGATTTTTTTTTTGTGCAGTGAACACAAACATTTTACTTGACCGTCCGTCTGTCAGTGATCAAGTTGTCAAAGGTGGGTCAAAAAGGCATGAATTGTGTATTCATTTGCCAAGATCAAATTTGCTGCCCTCAGTATGTGCCGCCCAGAGCATGATCTCCGTGTTGACCAGTTGCCATTCCAGCAATGTACCATGTCTAGTTCCATGGAATAACGTTTTAATGATCTGAAAACAAATAATTGGAACTAACACGTCATTTTAATGGTGTTTTATCTTTAAATATAAGGCGGGCCGTCTGCTTGATTGCTATTCCAACCTTCTAGTTCTTGAATAATATTTTTTTGTGTCTTTAAACAAACAATTGGAACTAAACCAGCATTTTGATGTGGTGACAGTGAGGTGAGTATTATGAAACAGTTGCATAGTTGTATTTGGGTCGAAATACCGTTACTGTCCGGAATATAGCATCGGTAAGTAAAACTTCATTTTAAGATTTGACGACCTCAGTGGTTTAGCTGTTTAGCACACCGCTTTACGTCCAATGATCGCGGGTTCGATTCCTCGCACGGCATAAACATTTGTATTTATGAGTATGATTGTTTGTATCGGTCTGGATGTTTTCTATGTATAATATGTATGTATTTACGAAAAAAACATCTATGTATTTGCATTAGTTGTGTAGTACCCATAACACAAGCTTTAGCTAACTTAACTTGGATGGCGATGTGTGAATTGTTCTGAGATTATTATTATGAAGATGACTTTAGTTTGTACGATTGGATCCTGTTAGTTGTTTGTTACCTATTTAGTGATTTATTTAATACTATCTACCTGCCCTGGTTACGCATTTATATCATTGTATTATACATATAAACTTTCTTCTTGAATGACTCTATCTATTGTTGAATTAGTACTACCCTATTACTATTAGTAGTACACCCGTGCGAAGGGGGCGGCCCTTCGCACGGGTGTACATGTACTATTATGATTAGTACATTCCAAAGCTCTAATAACGGGCTACTCTAATCAATACTTCAATTGACACCTACTATTAAGTAAAAACAGTATACGCATCATGACTAGGGCCCTCACTGAACACTGCAAGCTGAATAAGCACATAGCGAAATTAGGCCTTAGCTCAACATAAATCTGCAGATTTTGCGATGCAGAAGAGGAAACGCCACTGCACATCCTATGCGGTTGTAGCCCTCTCATGTATAAACGAAATAACTCCTTTGAAAAGTGTACACTATATTCTGAGGAGATAAAAACCATCGCTCTTAAGAATATCCTTCAGTTCTTGTCCCTTATGAGTCCAGGTAGCGAACTTTGAATAAGGGCGAGTATAATAGATCTATACAGGTCGCAGTGTTACAGGTCATAGCACCTGACAATAGTGAATCAACCAAATCCCAAATAAAAAAGATACACCTTCATATCCTGTAATTTTACTGCCTTATGTCATCCCACAGCTGAAACAGCCTACAAAGCAAGCTGCTTGGCTGCTGAAATAGGTACGTATCCCCTTCTGATTCATATTAATTAATTCTTCATTCCTATTTGTTGTATCATAATCTTGTGATGTGACAGCTTTCTGATTGAGTGGTAGATTAAAAAAATAATAGGACTAATCAAAAATGCTTAAATGTAAGTTTATTTGAATAAAAACAATTTTCTTTTTAATTCTTATAGCCTTCCTCAATAAATGAGCTATCTAATACTAAACTATTTTTTTATTTCGAACCAGTTCTGACCTTGAGATTAATGAGTACAACCAAACATACTATACAAACTATTTAGTTTTATATGTAGGTAATATTAGTAGAGATGGATATTGGATGAAAATAAACTTTATCTCTGTCAATTAATGTGACTCAGAAATAATCTCGTAGTGTCATGTGGCACAGTAAAAATTATATTTTTGTATTCATTTATCAAATGAACTCCTGTTGTTTTGTCTTAAGACAGATAAAAACTCGAAACTGTGTTGCAGAAATAATAAACAATAAATTATAATTAACTGTATGTCATTCATTACTTTATTTTCTGTAATTTACGTACGTTTATCAGTTAGAGTTATTTTTTTTAATACTACGGCAGTGGCAAACAAGTATATGGCCCATGTGTTGTGTTAGTTATTTATGCAGTTAGATTAATTCTGAATATTATTCGACACGTTAAAAACGTTTCTCTTTTGTATGTTTTTTTCTTTTGTAAATAGAATGACAAACAAGCCGACGGTTCATCTGAGCACTAAAGACATCACGTTATCATGTGACACCCGTGATACCACTCATGCATTGCCAACACGAACTTTAATGTGAAACTGAAAGACTAGTTAAAGCTAGTTTCTTGGCTACTGAAATAGGTGAGACTTATAACGCAGACGACTTTTTACAAAGTCTATCTTTATCAAGTCTGAATTTCTTGTGTATATTCTTGGGGATTCCTAATATATCAAGTTCAATTTTAGTATAAGTGACATTCTTCTAAAATCCCGGTTAAAAACCCCAAGGTTCTCCTCTCTACCTTGGGTTACAGGAATGTGCGAGCAGTCTTTCTCAACCTGAATGGTGCTGGCCTGCAGACCCCTTCTCATTTCTTATATTTAGTAGTTAGATATTTAGTAACAAAATAAATCAACGAAAAGGTGATATATAAATAAAAAGGCACAAAATCATTGTTTATCACTTTTTTATAATTTATTTTCACAACATTTTTATTTAATTTTCTGTAAAATTTACAATAGCTTAAAACTCCTCACAAATATATAGTAATCATTATATACGCAACAACAGCGTGTCAGCGCTTCGTGTCCCACGAAACAGGCAACTTGGAAGAGAAAATAATAACTACATGTAAATATATCTGATAAAACCTAACAATAAGCTTATATAACGTAAGGCTTTATGAACTAGCAACCCTTAAACTAGAGAATCGGTTGGCTGGCGTCGGCTGCGCGCTTGTAACATATGAGCGGCAGTCACGGCGCGCGTTGTTTCATATAAATCAAACGACTGATTAAACAACAGTTAAATGACATACAATTAGAAATTAAGTAAATAACATCGTATTAGAGGAAAGACAAAACATTGTCTAAAAGAAAAAAGTAAAAAAAAAAACAAGATGCTTTTTGTATGAAACTGTGCTAATGCTAAGTGTATTTTTAAAACGGCATATGTCTGCATAAATATTTTTTTTAGTTCACCTCGCTTAAAATATAACGATTGTTCTGTAACACGACTTTTTTTAATACTTACAGAATTGTACATAGATTAAATATTAGTTGAATTCTCATGAGAGTGATGCCAACTTTTGCAATTCGTAGTGTTAATTGCTCTGTGCTGCACTAATTTATTCAGAATAGAAATGTTTATAGCAACAGTAATATTAAAAGAAAAGGCAAAAGATAATTAAAACAATATAAAGTTTCTAGTACAGATAAAATAATTTTCCCGCCAATTCATGTATGTCATATTCGAATTTTTAAATTTTCAATTGTCATTTATTAAAATTTGAGTAAATTAACACTACAATTTAAATTAAGAATAATTCTTATTCTTAGGTTTTAAGAGTTGGCATGGCCCTTATGAGATGCAATCTAAAATAAATCTATGCAAGCACCTGCACTACTGAAATATAATGTAAAAACAAATTGGTTGCACAGTTTATTACAAAAATTTTTTTGTTGCAAATGGCGACACGGGCCTGTTGACACCTACGCGCGCCAATGTGGTCACATATTTTACTGATAAAAATAGGTTATCTGTACATAATAAACCGAGGCGTATTGTACAAATAAATAATTACAGAAATATAAGCAAATACAGTTGTATATAGTATTTTCTCTAATATGATTAGTGAAAATACTGGATGCTTTACGATTCCGATATAGTTGAAGAGAAAGACATAGATTATAGTTAAGTAAAACTATAGAAATTTTTTGTCAATAAATGCGAGTTTTTTATAACACTCAGATACACTTTCTATAGAGATGTATGTCAGTCAACTGTTGTATATTCACGTCTTAATTCTGACACAACGCTTAATTTTGGCGCTTGCGTACAATACATAATCTCATAGAAATCTTATTTAATCACATAAAATACTATTTGGACTTCCACATTACTTGCTGATTTAATGAAGTAAACCAAACAAGATATAGACTAGCTGGCCTGATAATCAATTTTGCAACCAAATCTAATTACAATGTTGCCCTATAAATTTATAGTAAAAGTTGCCAGTATAAAATTATAATTGAAAGGATTTTATTTATTGATAAATTTATTTAACAATATTTTATAACTGTTTTTTCGTACATACATATTTATTTTATATTAAAGTTTAAAACTTCACGAAAATTGATAATACAACATTTTCTTGTCTTGTAAATAAAAACATATTATTGACAATTAACACTCTCATATAATTACTTCATTATTGTGAACAAAATATTGTGATAAGAGTATAATATAAAATGTAGCGAAAAACATCCATTACTCATTGGTTTCATGATTTTAAAATTGAAACAGGAAACCAATTTAGCAATTTAAATATCTAATATATTATTTTGATGAGGTGTGTTATCTAAAATAGTTTTTATTGTACTCATTTAATTATTACGTGTTAATAGCGCAAATTAAAATGTTGACTTCTATATTATTTTATCTTATCGTCGTGACAATATGAGAGGAATATACATTTGTAACACAAGCATGTATGTCAGAAAATACATTATATAAATGTGCCAAGTATTAAATAGTATAATTTTAATAATATCATAATTATATTGTTTAAATAATTAATTTTATAAATAACACAATTTTTTTATTATTTATTTTATTTTAAAAGTTCGAATTTGCACTTCGAAATAATTGGATTGTACTTTTCCTGATGTATTAACAGATTGCAATTTAATTTTGTGACGTGCTTCTTACACAAGTGGTGTCGCTGATTATAATTAAAAAAAAAACATACATAACTCATACTTGTTCTGCCATAACAATATACAATACTTAAAATACTTAAATCACCACCAAACAGCACGCAAGCGCCATAGACCAGTATATTAAATAATAGATTACACGAAAACATTAAAAATAAGTCTAGCTGAAAACTGATGGTAACTTTAGAAAAATAAAATCCTACACTATGTATATATTGCAATGTCTCTCTTGTATTATAATATGCAAAATATATATTTTCAATTGAAAACATTTAGACCGTTATTGGGAGCATTTCGTCTTTTTTATATGGAAGAGCTACGTTTATTGTTTGGTTATATTTCATCATCTATTTACTTAACTGGCAAGATAAAATAACAATGGTTTCTTGCTATATTGAAAAGCAATGAAATTGGCCTATTGTGTTCGAAATTGACCCAAAGTAAACATTTAAACAGACGAACAATGTTCAATACGAATATATAAAAGCATTTTTTACAATATATCCTCTAAAATTGATTAATATTCTCGTTTTGAAGGCCTTAGAGTTGTCTATGATAAGTAATAGGTATTACTGTGCGAGCTATTTTCCAGAATAGAAATTCACAACATAATTATATCGAATTCACTCAAGGAGGTAGTTCTGAACAATTTACGTCGACAGCTGATCTACATTATATAATAATATATATAACAATCACAGTTACAATAATTATGACAATAAAGTGACATTAAAATATATGTCGAAAAGACTACAAATCACAACTTAGACGCCTGTCTCGATATAGCGAGAGTAACACTAGTGATAATTAACTTACATTCACTCTTATTACAAATGGAATATAGTTTAGATTCCGTTAGCTATATTATGTACTTCATTTATTTCTAAGTACAGACGACTGCGAACTACGTCTAATTTAGGTCTAAACTGCAGGATGACTCGTCGCGATCGTATCGGAATCTAATTGAAATTGCATTGAATTGATCAATTAATTGTATAACGTTGCAATTTGTCAATTTAGACAATAACTAAAGTTTTATTCCGCAGTTAAGGCATTACTATTTATAATAGACGTATTGAGTATACGTCTATTTTAAATAGCCTTTTGTCACTTTTTCTCACGACAAAAAACTGCTTAAAAGAAAGAGACAAAAGACATAAATAATTTGCAAGGAAATTTGAATTTTAATTTATCGTATATAACATTGTTTTTTATTCGAATAGATCGCGCGACAAAGCCAGCCTGCTGTTCGACTATTCTGCAATACGTTTCACCCATGATTATTGTTTCAAATGAATTTTGTCTTTAATAGTTCTATTACAGCCTTTAATCTTTGACAATAAAATGTACGTAAGTGATAAACACCACTCGAAGAAAGATACAGAGTAGCCGCGAATATAGAAATATAATTAATTTCATGGATGAATCGTAGCAGGTCAACTTGTATCATATTCTTATCTCCAAGTCATATATGACATATGCAAAGACTATAGTATAATGACACGAGTTAATATAACACTCGCCGTTCAGACGTTGTCAAGTTCACAATTTTGTGGAGCTACTAGAAATGAGATCTCAAATTTTGGTTCGATAGTGAGCAAGTTGGAAATTCGTTCATAAAATCGTTATATTTGTTCCGAAGTATAATAATTAATTAATCTAGAAGAGGGTTGTACTTGATTACTTCGGATGTAACTCGATATACTATAAAGATTACAAATTTCTTATCCAAGCCCTATTAAGAACTCCATGCAACTATGTTTGTATATATATATAAATATTTAATTTGCACATATGCACTTGCAAAATATATAAATCATGCACATATTGGCCGGACACCGTTTACACATCTTTCATATAATTCTATATCTTCATTAAAGTACAACAATAATAGTAAAACTTTCTATTGTATTAATATTTATCTACGTAATAATGTAAGTAGTATATACTCATCGACAACAGGTTAAATCTACAACAAATAAATCACATTTTCCATAACATCTACATGTTTTTATATAAAATTTAATTGAAAAAGAGAAGTTAATAAAAACGCGTCGGTAAGTACTCTGCTACTAAAATGACTTCTTCCTACGTTGTAAATGTTCTTAAAATATTTATTTATTGGATTTTTAATATTACAAAAGAGTGAACTTTAATATTGTACACACCTTAGTATTATATATTTTTTTGTTTTTTTTTTTTATTTTATTTTTTCTATTTATATTTTATCTTAATTTGTTACTTCGCATGCCAAGCCGTATACAATACTAGAGCGATCACAATAAAGTGAAGTGTATATATACATTCTTTTAGATTAATAAATATATATTAAAATAGTTTAGTTCTTTAATACATATGTCCCATGGCAAGGATACTGTTAGGTCGCGTGCTCGCAACGCGTGCATGACACGCTAATCCGAATCCAGTTCCTAATTCCTTCTCTGAATCGCAATATTAGATAGCAATCACGTTTGTTAATTAAAAAAATAGAACGGAATTTCTCGATTATAAAAGGCCATCGGACAAGGCCGGACTTGTTCCTTTTAATTATATTGTTGATTGCTCAAAGACATATCAGTGTTGACACCATTCTACTTTTTCAGGTCGGGCCGCGTGAGCCATTAAAATCATTACCACTTTCAATTCGATCTTCTAGTTTGTTTTTGAGAGACATGCCACTACTTTTAAGGAATCAATTTTATACACATAAAGCTTAAAAATAATTAACTAGTCTTTTTTATAGGCAGACCCATCGACTCGGACTCACTAACTCTAACGACTTTCACATCGCGTGGAAAATAATTTTCGTACTGCTAACATATTAAGCCATCAACACGAAAGGAGTACGACTAGAAATTACCTCACGTCTCCGGCGTCGGCCGCATGCGTCCTGTTGATATATCCTTACTACTCTACCTACCCGCTACGTACTCTAATTAACGATATCGTTCCTATATTAATTGGCATAATAGACGTGCAATTAGTATTTACAGTTCATCAATACGGATCGCTCTATTTGTCAGATACTGAATATCGGGAAAACGCTGGTGACGTATCGAGGACGAGAGGTCCGGACGACCTCGCCTCGTGACAATTGACGTGCGAAATTGATCGGTGTAAAGTGAGCAACTTGGAATTGACCGAGAGTAATTCGTCTCCTAATTCGCGATCCGATTCCACCGCCACAGAAACCGTAAGTCCACTCGGGCCCGTTCGTATGCAGTAATAATAGGAAATCAGCCAAGAATACGAAGCGCGAAATCGTTACACGACAATATACAATCACACTCGCTAGGACAAGGGGAAGTCATACATATACATATAATTTTTATCCGTATTATATACATTTGGCACTAAATTCATCGTCGATCGATAAAGAGGGTAAGAATCACGTGAGTCCTCCCGCGCGGGGCGCCTCGGCGTAGCAGGGTCACGCGGGGCACAGCTGCGGGCGGCAGCACTCGCAGCACGGCGGCGCCGCGCCCGCGCACGCCGCGCACGCCGCGCACGCCGCGCACGCCGCGCACGCCGCGCACGCCGCGCACACGCACACCACGTACCCGGCCGGCAGCAGCAGCGGCGCGCGCGCGCACAGCTCGCGGCACGCCAGCGCCTCGATCAGCGCCAGCGTCTGCCGCCGCTCGTGCCCCATCAGGCACACCGTCGACTCCCGCACCACGGCGTGCAGCAACGTCAGGTACCTGGTGAGTCGCGATGCAGATTAGCGGCTGGTAATGTGAACTAATAACTCTAATGCTAGTAATGGTACATTCAGGTTGATTTTAGCGGGTCACATGAAACCATCATGTTTGCCTCGATGGGCTACCTGACCTGACCTTATGTGTCTTGTCGTTTTCCATTGGTTTTGGTGGTTGATCAGCTTGTTTTTAAAGGATATTTCTGTTAACTGATGAGAAATTACAAAGTAAGGAGTTATATTAGTCCTCTGCAATGGCAACGCATGGGTGGCACCACGGGGATTACATGATGACGCGATGTCTTTGATATTATTCCTGTGTATACAGTAAGGAGAATATGTACTGATTAGAATCGATGACATAAACTAACTAACTGACTAAGATTCCTTAGTTATTGCAAATATGGAAGAGACCTGTGGTATAGAATTCATTAAAAAATATTAGATATTTACCTGTGCTTTAGGGCCTCCTCTTCTCGCCCGACGAAATGATTCCGTAGATAAGCTTCGAGCTTCGCACGTTGCTGCCCTAGCTCTGGGAAGTCGATGAAGAATCTCGAACACATATAGCGCTCGAGGATCTTGATTTTATCTGGCCGCGCCGGTCGATAACCCTTGGCAAGGAGTGCGCAGTATTTCAACAGGCCTCCGCCGCGGATCTCTTCAGGTTGCCGTGTCGCGATCAGCTTCTCAGCCAGGTGAAATAGTGCTTCATTGAAGTCACCGTACACTGATTCTCCAACTACGGTTGGGTAGAAATTTTCTCCGATGGGTAGCTGAGCGCATTCGTGGAATGCCAACAGTGAATCTAAAGCGATCTGAAACGAGTCCACAGAGAACTCGAACTGCCGTCGCATCGTATCTACAAATTTTAACTCGACGGACTTATGGCCACGAGAGTTTCCGAGTGAGATCAGAGACCAACGGTCGCCGTCCGAGTTGACGCGCACCATCTTTGAGACGTAAGCTTCCTTAAGACCGGCGGTGGATGCGCGACGACGTGGCGTGGCCGGAGGGAGTAGCGTCGAGAGATGTCCCAGAACAGCGGCCTTGACACGATCGCAGTGACGTGCAGTGGGCAGTTCCGCTGTGAAGATTAAGTCAATATCCGAATATGGCTGAGGACGATCGGCAAGGACATGGCTTGCGGCTCCCCCGTTTAGTCTCACGTCGCGGACAGTGATACCAGCACCGCCGGTTGTCTGGGAGGCTTCAAGACGTGCTCGCACTCCTGCCACCAATTCTCTCAGCCGCACGTGCAAGGTGGGAAAGTTGCCACGGCCGTGGATGGCTACCACTTCGTCCATGACGTCATTCAGCCGTCGTACTTGTTCATAACTAAGAACGGCATGCCGTTCTCCAGCACCGCAGCCCTCTTCTGACGAAGTGTAGCTCGACTCGCTCTGTAACAAATAAAATTAAACTTAGTAGGGAAATTACGTTCCATGATTTGGACAACTTAATTTACATTAAAAATTCTGATCACAAGTAGTAAGCATCTTGTAAAAGATTGTATGGAGGGGTCAACCAACATTCAACTATCATGTAGGTAGTATCTTGTAGTAATATATAGTAGTTGATTGCTTACTAACAATATATCACGGTTTACCCAAGTGAAACACAATACCTAACCACTCAAACCACAATGCAAGGATTCATCATAAAACCCATATAGTAATCGTTTCCCAGAGGGAAATGCAAAACATGATGTGCCATTGTGTTTTTTGTTATCATGATTATTTCTTCTTCATGACCGTGATAGGTTCTATAACAAATAGGAGGGGGGAAATTCGCATTAAAGCGGTGACAAAAAAATATGATTAATTGTTCATTAAATATTTTTGAACACTCTGAGCAATCGATTGTTAGTTGTAAGATCTTAATCAGAAAAAAATGATAAGTGCAAAGTTTGATGCATATGTAAGCAGCTACCTGCAAGTTTTCCAAGATTTTTCAAAATTGCTCTTTTGTATTGAACATTTCTATTATGGATAACTTGAAATTGTTTTTGTCGTAGTTAATAAGTGCTGGTATTCAAATAATACAATTAGTTACAGACGTCGAGAGTTCAGCGGAAATTTTGGTTCAAAACAACTTCTAATAAATGGTCTTACGTACTCGTAATTAAAATTTGTTTTGTTTTTAACGATCACTGCATATCTACTAACACAAGGTCTTGTTCTAATTGTATAACAATAAAATTGGTTCGATAGACATGTTTTTAATTTGTCACAAATTAATTGATTTTGTATGATAACTTCAAAATTAAGCACGTAATCCCGCTTAAAGATCGAAATTCAACCATAATTAATTTAAATTATAAGTTTGGACATTATAAATGTACTATAGACACAGACTATACTACTATGCGTGTATGTATCAAGTACATAGTAGTTTGTGTAATGTTATTTTTATTGATTTAATGAAGTTTTTATGCATAATTAAAAAATATATTAGTTTTCCGCACTCCTGTTCTATATACAGTATAAGTGTCCGAAATTTCATACTCTCTGTCCGCGCAATTCGTAAAAAGAGGTACAAAGTTTTGCCTCACGTAACATATAGATACGTAAAAAGCATATGATGGGTAACGATTTATTTGATCTTGTGCAATTTACGAGACTTAGTTTATATACATATACACATAAAACCTGAAATTTGTAATATATTTTGAATGTGGTACTAGAATTTAAAAACGAATGATAAAGCTTTTTTATAGTTCAATATGTTTAAATTCGAATATATTTAGATCGTTGTTTCTTTTTAAGTTAAACATGTCGATCATATAGTCTCTTTTTTTTTTTGGGTATATGACAATTATGTGGTATATAAAAAACAAATTTGATGAAACAAACATTAATTAGAAATGTAAACGCTAAATTTTCCTAGTTTTAAACACTTGTGTATCATAAGGGTCGTTGATATAAGTGATCTTTGTCTGTATATACAATATGTTGAATTACAAATTTAACTCGATGATTGTCCGAGTTTGAGTGTTCAAATTGAATCACAATGAGGGACTTATACATTATATTTCATCGTTGTCATCTGTCTGTTCATTGTACATAAATCATATTTAGGCGGCCCTAGTGTGCTGGACAATATCGAAGTGTCACAGACAAATTGTATTGAATTCTCCAAAGAGATCTCTTTAATATATATTTTAGTAGCAAATTCCCTGAGGTATCTTACTAAGCAATTTATTTTTAATTATAGTTTATCTATTCAATATATATGTATATAACTGAAGAAATGGTTTGTTACTGTTATAAAATAACAATATCGTAAATACATTTGAAATTATTTAGATTTGATCTAGATTAAATTCTATTTGGCGAATTTTGGCCTTCATGATGTTTCTTCCAATATTCCATGTTATTTGGAATAGTCGTCAAATAATTTCCCTTCCATTCATCTCTGTTCGCAGTCACATCAGTATTCACTGCCTTTCTCGTCATGTCATCATAATCCCTACGTTTGAGTCTTGTACTTTATAACCATTATATACTTTTTAAAAACATTGTCATCATTACTACGCAAAAGGTTTTGGAGTGCCAAATGCATTTGCTCAAATGCATTTCATCCGATGAAGCTGTAAAGGCCAGGTGTGGTCAATTGCTTCAATATTTAATTATTTTTTTGAAATATTCTATCAAAAATTAGTCGAAAAAGAAATTATACATGTTTATCAAGATAAACGATTGTAACTTCTGTCATAAGAGCGCTATCATCATCATAGAGGTATAACTATAAAATGTTTCTTCTTGGGACGTCGATCGCTTTGAAGGAAATCAACTTAATTATGTCGTTTCGTTTTATTAGAGCGATGGCAATAAAATTAAATATTAATCAACACGTTGGCAGTAAACGGTATTGATTGATAAGAATGTGGACCTAGGTCACAGGTCAAGTGAGTCAGTAAGGCCGGTAAAACTCCGTTACGGACAATCTTTTTGAATGGTCGACAATTTTCAAGGCACAGACAATGGGAAGTAGACACTAGACAGCTAGTCAAATAAAGCCACTATTGTTAGCTTTTGGTTTATTAGATGCTAGCGACGCGTCCAGGCTTGACACGGGTGCAATTATTGTAGTGATTTCTAATTTTATTTTAAAACTTTTGTTACCTGTGGTTTTGCACGCATATACATTTCTAGATTCAAGATTATTAATCGACAAGATTTATACAACGCCATCTATTATTTTATAAATAATTGATAAAATTGTACGTGGCCTATTGGAAATTTTTACGTAATTATTATCCCGTTTGGGTAGTAATTTTCCCAAGTTTCCTTGACATGTGCTGTGACAATTTCATCATACCTTCAAGTCTTTTTACATGACATGTCACAAATTGATAAATAAATAAAGGACAAACAGTTATCACCTTCTGAGTTTATTATATATATAAAGATAAAACTGTTCTTATTACTTATTGGTACTCACAACACAATGCAGCTTTCTATATTGAATGCATTTCTAAACTCCATTCAGTATTTGTTGATTACTTTAATAATAATACTTCCTCTCTATAGTAATATTTGTTAAACTATATGGCAATACTAATGTGTACACTTACAGTTTAGCCGTCTCCCACACTAATTTGATTTATTGCCCGTAATTTTCAACACTGGCGAGTTATTCAGAAATTTAAATTGACACACAAAGAATTCGACATTACGACCTTTGATGTCTATAGTCGGGATTGTAAACAATGCTATAAATAATCCATGCTTTAAAAACAAATTATTTGCGCAAACAACTATTTTAATTATTGTAAAATGTACCTTGTTTCCATAGAATAGGATATAGGAAGCTGGCATATTTGTAACAAGTTAATAATGTTGTATGTACATGAATAGTACTCACAGTTAGTAAACCGGACCTACAGTAGATCCCTTATCAAGGTCACAATATGGAACAAATTTAATTACATATTTGAGAGTACATAAACGGCGATTAATGTATTTACTTATTATAGAACCTGTTCTTGACATTATATCTTATTATAGAGTTGCTATGTACACTTGAGTATGATTGCATTTTGTTATAATCACATTTACGATTAAAACTTTTCGGTAACAATCGAATCAAATCGATATATCTTTATTGATGTCAATTACAGACTATTATGATACGTCATATCTACCGTCAGTTGGGATACTTTGAAGTTAAAAGGCAATGAGAAGAAATTTAGGTCTTATTCTTTTCAAATGAGCTTGTACATGAGTACAAAAATACAGATTCACGTTGAAATTAAATTAGAGAATGTAGCGACTACTAGCATATGCTATTTTTGATAAAAATATTATCAGTAGCCGTAATCAAAACAGACTAGTTCCCACATGTATGAAGGTATATAGAGTTACATTTTGTACAAAGTCATTTCGTTGTCTTTGTTTCCTCTATTTCAGTTCCAAGAAGCTTGTTTTGTAAGATTGATTTTGCTTTAAGGATTAAGACATAGCAGTGCAATTAGAGATTCACGATATCTTAGTTCTCCGTAGTGGTTATGGTTATTTACGGATATTTACTAATATTTTTAGAATAATGCTACTGAAAAACAGTACAGAGAATTTGTTAAATACCAGATCAAATCAAGTCAAATTCGTTAAAACATTTATATTTTAATATTTACGTGCCGTATACATTTATTTCGGTAATTTTAGCATTAAAAAGGTAAAATATAACTGTTTGTGATTTCTCCTGCGCTGCAATGCCGCTTATTAATTGATCTGTATTAAAAAAAAAAAGTGACAGACAGTGTCATTGTCATGGCGTTTGGCGCTCTCACGCCGGTGACCTCTGACTGTGGTCGAATAAAACGAATTTCGTTTTGTTTTTCCTCGTCGATTTGAAATCACTCGGTCACTGAGGTCGCATGCGCAATCGACACGAATGGACGCACCCGCGTCTGACTCTGAATAAGAATGGAGTTTTTGTCGGGTTCCGTGTTGTGATGAAAATAAATATCTATTCTATAATTTACCTACTTAAAATCGGTATTTTGTAACTTCCGATTAATATATTGTACATAATATTAGTTACATAAGTTGTATAATAATAATAATTATCTCACAATACATACTTATATAATTAAATTAAGATTAAAATAGTTTTATACTTATTTTGCAAAAATTGTTTTAAATAATTACAAAATTTTAATCGCTAATGCGTTTTGTTACCTCTAATGTATGACCCTGGGCACGTGATAACGTTTCAGACTTGACCGTTTTTGTTGGCGCGTAGAAATCAGCTGTTTAGCTGCAAGGTTGGTTATTGCGTGTTGTTGTTTTTTATTAAATAATCCATAAAACCTTTTCTTGAACAAAACAATAGGCAAAGAAACTCGAACAATACCGTTGCTATTTTATAGTAACGGGTATTACTATGTGATAACTAA